TTAAACCCTAACTGTGATTCCTGTAGCACAATCTCTAAAACTATTCAGACTTATAGCAAAACCACTCACTGAGGAGACAATTCCCCCGACCTGGAGCATAATTCTCCCAACCTAGGAGACAATTCCCCCGACCTGGAGCATAATTCTCCCAACCCAGAGCACAATTGGCCCAACCTAAAACACAAGTTCCCCCGACCTGGAGCACAATTTTCCATACCTAGAGCACAATTCTCCCAACCTATAAGCACAATGTTTCCAACCTAGAACACAATTCTCTCGAATTGGAGCACAACTCTCCATGCCTCTCATTAAGTCGCAAATACTGAGACTCATCTCTCGCACAAAGTCCCCACCAAAAGCACAAATCCCACCAAAACTCAATCCCTTAGAAACCCTTGAATCAGGCATGGAGCAGTAACGTGTCGAATCAAGCGTCATTGATCACGTGTTTCAAGCCGGCCCTCACCACCCAACAGTTCAACGTCTGCGGAATTACGAACACGGATCAGCGCAGACACCTGGATCGTTCCTCTGCGTCGTACCGTCACCAGGTAAACTCCAGGTCTTTTTTTTTTTTTTTTGTCTAAAACAAAGTGTCAGCAGACACATAAAACGCAAAAGAAATACATCTCTAAAGTCCAAATATTCACTCGTTTATTTCCAGTTTGTCTGTGGCGGCTCCTGAATAGCAAGTTGTCGGTGAGTTAATCTGTAACACGAGTTAATCTGTAACTCTGCTCTTTGAAGTGCTTTTGTGTGCTTTTTAACCGTGCTTCGTATTTCTGTCTGGCGGTATTTACTTAGTACACCTTGTGTAACTTGGCCCAGTTGAGTGTTGTGTTGTGGACTGTTTTAATCGTGATACTGGTGTCTGAGGTACCAGTGAGGGATCAAAACAGGAACTGCCTTATGAGGTTATGAGGATTCTGTGGATTATGATGTCCTCCTGCCACTTTTTCCTTCTGCATTAACCAGCGCATACTTTCTGTCCTTGTGATCAGTCAACCCCCATCTTCATTCTCTGTTTAAAAAAACAAAACAAAACCTTTTACTTGGGGTTCTTTATCAGCTGAGCTTTCAGCGATGACTG